CACAGTAATTATAATATTGTCTCGTCCTTTGTGGTTATTGTAGTATTGTCATAAACACACAGTAATTATAAGAAAGATTCAAAAATATAATTTTATTCATGTTTTAAAAAACCTACATAATAGATTTTTGACGTATGTTAGTTTTTTTCTTTCATTCTTCTAAAGTTGAGAGCAATGGTGTTGCATTTTTCTTCAAACTTGGCCTTTTCCGTGACTTATATCTCCTTCTTTAAAATGGTTTGAGCAAATGTAACTTGAGGGATATACTCTGGAGTCTCCCATCCCATATGTTCATTGCACAATTTCTTGGTATTTTGAAAAAAAACTCACATTTTACAAGAAGAATTGTTTTTGCACTTTTTCACGATACAATATGTACTTTTATGTCATGTACTTTTATCAAAATAAACAAACAACTGAACTTGAATGTACTGCAGTATACAATCCTGTGTTTACAATCCATATTAAGTGTCTATCTAATTATCAATACTAATATTCAAATATCTACATTAAACCACTCCTTAGAAATACGATAACTCTATATAAAAGTGTACAGCGTTAGATACGTAAACATATCGAGATGTATACAACCGACCGCTCTATTAATTAATTAATAGGGAGGTCGGTTGTGTACATCTCAGCTAAGCTAAGCTAAGCTATTACTCTATGGTACTTATGAAAGAAAAGTTAATTGCAGCTGCGTATACTCTGCTTATACATTTTGAAACCAGTTCTCTTTGGCGGAATTTGTAAACAAGAATAGATGCATCAGTGTTTGTTTAGTATCCGAGAAGGTTAAAAGCATTAATTTTTGATAATTTTGATAATTCAATAATATGACCAGAATATTCCATTGATTTTTTTAATGTGAAAGATGGATCCCATGTCAGGCTTTTGACATCGGTACGTCTTGTGTTTACATTACCGCCCAGAGACAGTACAGTGCAGTGCAAAAGATGCGTACAACTCTGAAATAACTTTCCTTGCATTACAACCTTTATCATAACTTTGTATCAATCTGTCTGTGTCTATCTATCTATGCATCTGTTTATCTGTCTGTCTATTTATCTGTCTTCCTGGTTTCTAGTTTGAATCAAACATGAATATACCTAGCTGTATGTCTTCTCTATATCTATCTATCTATCTATCTATCTATCTATCTGTCTGGCTGTTACACCTGTACCGTTCCATGCTTTCTTAGACTGCATGATCAGGCAGTCTCGTTGATCGAACATTCGGTGATATAAACAGTCTCGTAATAAATCATTCGGTGATATAAACAGTCTCGTAATAAATCATTCGGTGATATAAACAGTCTCGTAATAAATCATTCGGTGGTTTAAATAAAAGTAAAATACCATTAATTTACATTTTGTATTGTCATGTCTCAAAATAATAATAAAAACACATTTATTTTAGATGATTTAAAGATTTTAAGATTACTATGCAAATTGGAACTGATACGCTATAGATGAGAAACCTCTTGTAATGACGTCCTTTGAGAAGGTGTTCTTTGCTTTTGCATGCATAGTTACATTTTCAAAATTTTAAACCAAAACCGATATTTTTAAAACTGACATATGCTTGAAGCTAATAAATGGAAAAGCTTAACTTATTCTCAACATTTAAAGGTTTCAAGCTCTGATAAATAATATTTTAAATTTGATACTTTTAAGGTTAATTAAGGTAATGAACTCTAGCTACAAACTTGTATTTTCTAATCCCAATATCTTTGCAACCGAATGGTTAATCTTTTATATTACACACTTAGAGTAATTCCTCCATTGTTTGAAATAGTAAAGGTCTATTAGATAAAGGAATTTAAATCCTGAAAGTTTGTAACTTCTGACGTTTAACCGAACTTTAACGATTTACTAGAGCCCGAGATTTAAAAACTTTGGCTCGAGTCGTAATTCTTTAAACCCGACTTTAAGACCCAATCTTCGACCCAACTCTGACGACAGCTTGTGTCACGTGATTGACAGCTGCAAGATATTTGGCTCAACTTAAGGAGTTAGTCCCAATGAAAATAAAACCAACCTTGGTTGGTTTAGTGGAGAATAAGGCTCAATGTTAAGTATTGTTCTAATAAGAACCCAGAATGCGCCAATTTCTACCATGAAAATCCGCCAAATAGAATAATAATCTGGGAACTTTAGAATGGATAAACTTTAATTCTGACTTCTTGATCTGAATATCCACTGTGGAAACTTTTCATTTTTGTCCTCATCCACTCTTTTTCTCTCTCCTTGAATATCCGTTAATTGTTTTCTCCAATGAGAATATTTCTGTTCTCTCATTGGATGCCCGCTTTTCTCTGATTGACTGCTGCAGTTTCTCAAATGGTTAAATATTAATTTGAATTTTATCGTTTTTCATACACTTTTAAAATAATCTTTCAAGATTATGTTAATCTTGAGATTATCAAAAAGAGAGGATCAAGCATAAATCCCGATATCCACCATTCTAAAGTTTTCAGCTCTGGTTTTTTAAACCCAACTCTGCGGAAAATAAGATGCAGCTTGAATCCGAAAGCTCAAGCCGTAAATAAGGCCCAAAGACAGCTTAGACCCGAGCCGTATTTTTTTTTAAATCGCGTGCTCAAGAAACTAAATTTTCGCTATGAAAGTCGATCCCCTCAATTTAGAATCTTAAAACCAAGCTAATAACATTCCTCTGGGCTACCGAGTTTCACAATCAAAATGTGAGGCAAATCGGTCAAGGGGTTCCTAAGTTATGATCGGACAAACAAACAAACAGGCAGACAAACAGTGATTACAACTTTATAAACATAGATAATAGATATACTATGTAAGATTTGCATGTATATAAGTTTTAAAGTAATTCAACCTAAAATTTGGAAACTTTGCGTGCACACTGAAATAGACAGAAGGAGAAGGACAAATCTTTGTGATATTACTTGTTTAACTTTGTGACCTCGTAGCTCCTTTAGTTTAATTTTAAGTACAACTATGAGAAGAGCAAACTTTTCCGGTTTCAAATTAGAAATTCATAACTATTAAAGAAGTGGGAACCTAAGATTTAATCTGACGGGCATTTTGCTTTAACTGTTTTGTAAAATAGCTTGGGAGCCCCACGTTGCCCAGGTAACTCATAGTTACTCACGCCATTTACCCGCACTTGGTCATAAATTACGAGTTTAGCTATTCCCGTGGCTGCCCTGAGTTCTCAAATCAAAGTTTGAATCAAATCGGCTCAGGGTTTCCTGAGTCATGATCGGACAGACAAATGTATATATATATAGACAGTCTGAATAAATATGAAAAACATCGCTAATAATTTCTTTTCTTGTGAATTTTATGGTTTCTTAATTTCCCTTTTCCCGAGCCGTATTTTTTTTTAAATCGCGTGCTCAGGAAACTAAATTTTCGCTATGAAAGTCGATCCCCTCAATTTAGAATCTTAAAACCAAGCTGATAACATTCCTCTGGGCTACCGAGTTTCACAATCAAAATGTGAGGCAAATCGGTCAAGGGGTTCCTAAGTTATGATCGGACAAACAAACAAACAGTGATTACAACTTTATAAACATAGATAATAGATATACTATGTAAGATTTGCATGTATATAAGTTTTAAAGTAATTCAACCTAAAATTTGGAAACTTTGCGTGCACACTAAAATAGACAGAAGGAGAAGGACAAATCTTTGTGATATTACTTGCTTAACTTTGTGACCTCGTAGCTCCTTTATTTTAATTTTAAGTACAACTATGAGAAGAGCAAACTTTTCCGGTATCAAACTAGAAATTCATAACTATTAAAGAAGTGGGAACCTAAGATTTAATCTGACGGGCATTTTGCTTTAACTGTTTTGTAAAATAGCTTGGGAGCCCCACGTTGCCCAGGTAACTCATAGTTACTCACGCCATTTACCCGCACTTGGTCATAAATTACGAGTTTAGCTATTCCCGTGGCTGCCCTGAGTTCTCAAATCAAAGTTTGAATCAAATCGGCTCAGGGTTTCCTGAGTCATGATCGGACAGACAAATATATATATATAGACAGTAGTGAATAAATATGAAAAACATCGCTAATAATTTCTTTTCTTGTGAATTTTATGGTTTCTTAATTTCCCTTTCGACAATCTTTTCCTTTTTCAAATTCTTACAAAGTCCTCTTTCCTTTTTTATCTCTGTATTTTTTTCACGGGCAGATGTTATAATTATATCTGTAATTTAGTTAGTTTAAAGTACAACTGTTAACTGTAAACTGTTAACTGTAAATATCATGCCTGAAGTACAACTGTTATAATGTTAACTGTAAATTATTATGCCTGAAGTACAACTGTTTGAGAAGAAATCACCGAGAGTGCTTGGCCCAGTGTGTTCTTAACTGTTTTCTCCCGGTACAACCGCGCGCTCAGGTCTCCACACCAAGCGTTAAAATCTCCAGTTGCTTGCCAGCGACCGGGGAGAACGGTAGAACCACTTCCTGTTCCGGAAATGATTCAACTTCCGGTCTCGTGAACATTTCAATTTGATCTCAATCGAACTGTGAAATATTGGTTGCATACAGCTGTAATAACATGGGGTCAGGACACCATCGTTTATTTCTGTTTCTCCGTCCTACAGTTTACATTCTTGCTCTTATATCTGTGTTTCTTCTCTTGGTCTCCTCTATTGATGTAAATGTACCTTTCCTAACACAAGATATAATAGACAGTGTAAGTTTATAAAATCAACATTATTTTACTCCCCTTCCCTCTCTCCTCCCCCTTCCCCCTCCCCCCGTCTGAAGTTTGATCATTAACTGAAATAAAAAACTTCTACTTTCTAATTTTGCTTAATCTTAAAAATATTTTGAATCAGGAATAGGTTATAAAAGTCTAGAATAATGATATTAAGTAAAATTAGATTAATCTCTTCCTCAATCAAGGTTTTTAATCTTGATATGCCAGGCAAGGGTTTAAGTAGGTCATCTATTCTTACAACCCTCTCCTCCCCTTTTCCCTCCCCCTTGCATACTTTCCAACCCCCCCNCACTGATCTGCATTTCAAACACATTAATTTCACCTGTAGTACTTGATAGGGGTTTTCTTTGCAGAAAATAAATGTTGCTTTAGATATTTGAAAGTCAAAAAGGTTTATTCAACTTTTTTATCTTAATAATTTTTCTTTTCAATTATAAATTATTTTTTGTGTGAATATTTGTTCATTTTCTTTTTTTAAGTGAAAGCAATAAATATATTTGATTAAAGTTACATATTTTTGTATTTCCTTTTAATTTAACTTTATCTTTTCCGTTTATTATTCTGGCGTATATTTAGAGTTATGACCCTCGTCCCACAAACCTGGAAATGCATTTACGCAAATTGCGTGTTCAGCAAACCTGCAAAAAGTACGGTGATGCTCTGCGGGCTCCTGAACTAGTTGGGAAAAAGAATACTCTAATCTGGGATCTAAGGGATGGATTAATCTACTGTAGAATAGCAAAGGTAGGAAAATATTGTGTTAAATGTATTCGAGCAAAAAGCAGAAAATCCGCCAACTTCAACATCAGCTGCTGGAGAAGAAGAAAAAAGAAGATTTTACCCAACAGAGTTGGGAATTTCTGGGCTGGCATCCTGCCCTAAGTATAGGCAATGCCCCTAGAAATCCCAATTTTTAAACTGGGATATCACAACATCAAAAGAAGACAAGAAGACAAGAGTAGAATAGATATATAGTTTTTATGAAAAAAACAGCTGTTTTTCTTTCTGCTTCGATTTAATATTTTACTTCATGAATTTGACAGAAACTCTAGAATTTTCCATTTCTTGATAAGAACGCAAATGTTTTATCAACGGAAGTAAAGCTAACAAATTAATCATAATTATTCCTGATACAGTAGCACTCAAAAAACAGTGGAATGATGTTTTATTCATTTTTTCTTTTAATTATTTAACATCAATGTCTATTTTTTTGTAATTGATTCAAAATGTATCACTGAACGTGGTTTCGAGCACATTTGTAAAAGTATATTGGTCACAATTTAGGAGTAAAGCACCTAAATTACATTTTATGATGAAATAATTGAAGACAAATTCTACTATTTTATAGTAACCACTGAAAATAGTAGATAAAATACGGCATTTTAGATGTTTTGGGTGATGGATTGTTTTATAGAGTAAACATTTCTTAGAGTAGACATTTCTTAGAGTAGACATTTCTTAGAATAGACATTTCTTAGAGTAGACATTTCATAGAGTAGATATTTCATACAGTAGACATTTCATATAATAGACATTTCATAGAATAAACATATTATACAATAAACATCTTATAGAATACACATTTCATAGAATAGACATTTCATAGAATAGACATTCATAGAATAGATATTTTATATAGAACAGAAATTTATATATACATATTCCCTATAGTCGGCCAAACGGCTGGACCGAATAGGCTGCATGACATTTTTTGGGGACACTCATGGGTATAGCCTGGGAGTGACAAAAACCAGTCACCCTCCATGACCCCATAAAATACCCCATTGAGGGGGGGGGTTTAATTTGACCCCCCCCTTGTTTTTTTTGCGATAACTCAAAAAATAAAAGCTGGTCTTTCAGGCATACTGTCTAAATGCCTTATTTAGCTTTCACTATACTAAATCTATATTTAGACCTACTTCCAGTCATTGGATTTCATAGTTCTTTAGAAAGCCTAAAACAAAAGCAAGCAGATTGCACAACTTTTTCACAGACACCTTTAAAGGGAATTTGCACATTTTTAGTTCTTCTGGAAACACATTTAGGGTTTAAAATTTTGCAAATTTTTATTACATTTGAATTTGCTGGGTCAAGGGCAAGACAAAAATGTATCATTTGTTGCAATTTGCGCAATATTTTTTGCATATATTTGCTTTTTAACTAGATTTCGCAATAAATATTTGGATTTTTGCAAATTTGCCATTATTTGCATATTATTGAGGTAGACAACAAGACCTTAGCAAAAACGTATCAAATACAAGAGAATTGGGGGGTGGTCTATTTGACCACCCCACAAGGCAACCAGTCAGTAAACCAGACGTTGGGCTAAATAAGGTTAAACCAGTTATTTTATTCACAAAATTTAGTCCCTTTTATACTTGCATGTAATCATGAAGAAAACTGTTGGAATAATAATCCAATTAAATATAAATCTTTTTCATTTTAGTAAATTGATTATTCTAGCATTTATATTTGGTTTAATCAAAACAAGCTTAGGGAACAAAATTAATGATATCAATCTATGTAATATTCAAAAATTCTGAATAGTATATTTAAAATAGAATTAACTTATACAGTTAGGTTACTTTAATATACAGTTGGGTAACTTTAGATATACAGTTGAGTAACTTTAGATGTAAAGTTGGGGAACTGTAGATATCAAGCTGGGTAATTTTAGAAATACAGATTATTACTTCAGACATACAGTTGGGTAACTTTAGATAAACAGTTGGGTAACTTTATATGTACAGTTGGGTAACTTTAGATATACAGTTGGGTTTCTTTAGATATACAATTGGGGAACTTTAGATAAACAGAAGGTAACTTTAGACATACAGTTGGGTAACTTTAGATAAACAGAAGGTAACTTTCGATATACAGTTGGGTAACTTTAGATATACAGTTGGGTAACTTTATATGTACAGTTGGGTAACTTTAGATATACAGTTGGGTTTCTTTAGATATACAATTGGGGAACTTTATATACAGATTGGTAACTTAAGATATACAGTTAGGGAATTAAAATATACAGCTGGGTTACTTTAATATACAGTTGGGTTACTTCAATATACAGTTGGGTTACTTTAGATATACAGTTGAGTAACTTTAGATATACAGTTCACTAACTTTAGATAAAAAGTTGGGTAACTTTTAATACAGTTGGGTAACTTTAGATATACAGTTAAGTAACTTTAGATATACAGTTGGTTAATTTTTTGATATACAGTTAGGTAACTTTAGATATACCGTTGGGTTACTTTAATATAAAGTTGGGTTACTTTAATATACAGTTGGGTTAATTTAATATACAGTTGGGTTACTTTAATATACAGTTGGTTAATTTTCAATATACAGTTGGGTTACTTTTATATGCATTTGGGTAACTTTGGTTACTTTAATAAACAGTTGGGTAACTTTAATATACAGTTAGGTTACTTTAATATACAGTTGGGTTACTTTCATATACAGATGGGTTACTTTCTTATACAGTTGGGTAACTTTAGATAAACAGTTAGGTAACTTTAGATATACAGTTGGGTAAATTTAGATATACAGTTGAGTAACCTTAGATGTACTGTTGGGTTACTTTAGATATACAGATAGGGTAACTTTAGATTTACAGTTTGGTAGCTTTACATATACAGTTTGGAAGCTTTAGATATACAGTTGGGTAACTTAAGATATACAGTTGGGTTACTTTAGATAAACAGTTGGGTAACTTTAGATATACAATTTGGTTACTTTACATATACAGTTGGGTAACTTTAGATATACAGTTGGGTAACTTTAGATAAACAGTTAGGTTACTTTGGATATACAGTTGGGTAACTTTAGATAAATAGTTGAGTAACTTTAGATATTCAGTTAGGTTACTTTAACATACAGTTGGGTAACTTTTGATATACATTTGGCTAACTTTAGATATACAGTTGGGTAACTTTAGATATACAGTTGGGTAACTTTAGATATACAGTTGGCTAACCTTAGATATACAGTTGGGTAACTTTAGATATACAGTTAGGTTACTTCAATATACAGTTGGGTAACTTTAGATATACAGTTGGGTAACTTTATATAAAGTTGGATACCTTTAGATATACAGTTAAGTAACTTTAGATATACAGTTGGGTAACTTTACATATACAGTTGGGTTACTTTAATATACAGTTGGGCTACTTTAATATACAGTTGGGTTACTTTAATATACAGTTGGGTTACTTTAGATAAAACAGTTGGGAAACTTTAGATAAACAGTTAGGTTACTTTGGATATACAGTTGGGTAACTTTAGATATATAGTTGAGTAACTTTAGATATTCAGTTAGGTTACTTTAATATACAGTTGGGTTACTTTTGATATACAAATGGCTAAATTTAGATTTACAGTTGGGTAACTTTAGATATACAGTTGGGTAACTTTAGATATACAGTTGGGTAACTTTAGATATACAGTTGGGTAACTTTAGATATACAGTTGGGTAACCTTAGATATACAGTTGGGTAACTTTAGATATACAGTTGGGTGACTTTAGATATACAGTTGGGTAACCTTAGATATGCCGTTACAGTTAGGTAACTTTAGATACACAGTTGGGTAACTTTATATATACAGTTGGGTGACTTCAGATATACCATTGGGTAATTTTAGATAAACAGTTGGGTAACTTTGTATACAGTTGGGTAACTTTAAAAACAGTTGGGTAACTTTAGATATACAGTTAAGTAACTTTATATATACAGTTGGGTAACTTTAGATATACATTTGGGTAACTTTAGATATACCGTTGCGTAACTTTACAATTCTTCTAAATGTAACACTCTCGAATCCGTGAAACAAAAACTCTTTTTGCCAAATTTTCGGTTTATTTAACCATCTTCAGAGCATATTCTAAAAAACATACAAAATAAGAAACTTGAATAATAAATGTTTAAGAATTAAAATTTAAAAGAATTAAAAGATAAAAGTTGGATAGTTGGATAGTTGGATAGTTGAATAGTTGGATAGTTGGATAGTTGGATAGTTGGAGAGTTGGATAGTAGGATAGTTGGGTAGTTGGATAGTTGTAAAAAGCTAATTAGTTTTTAAGAAGTTAAGTACTAAGTAAAGGTAATTTCTGTAGTAGCAAAATATGTATATAGAGTAACCCTAATTTTCTATAGACAATTTAATTACGAAGGTATTGTTTAAATGTGCATATTTTAAAACCAGAGGTAAAAACTTTTGTGGAAGCGCAAATGTACAACGCTTAATCTCAAAAGAAACAGAGTTTTTGCCACAAACTCATATTTCCTAATCAATATTTAGATGGATAGCCATTGTTAATTTACATATACGAAATGTTTATTTTTTTTAAATGGTTTTAAAAAAGATATACGCTGTCAATTCCATCCTTATTGAAGTTTTTTTATTATTTAAATGAAAACTTTAAATTTATCCATCTTTTTTTTCGTAAAACGGTTCAGTGAGAAATTTAAAAAATGTTTTAAATTTTGCACAGTTCGCTTGCTAGTAAATTCTCTTTAAATTAAAATGTCGGGGTTAGGACTAGGGCTTAGCAATTGTTTAAAAATCTGTAAATTTCTTTATGTCATTTTAAAAGAACATAAAGCTCCTCAACAAGACATATTGATTGCATTAATGGAGAAAACGGGTTCAAATCTGAATCTTTAACATCTGATTTGACATGAGGGGTGGGGAGGGAGGAGAAGAGGGGAAGGGGGAA